TAACATGCTTCATCTTGTGTTTAATCATTATACTCAGAGTTTTTGTTGTTATTGGAAGTATTTAAATTTGTTGTCACAAAGTGCATTGTTATTTTCACCAGATTAGAAATAGTTTAGTGTATTTGATAGACATGAATGAAGTTATAAATACTACAAAAAACTGAAAGTGCAAACTATAAAGTTTGTATAAAAACTTCATAAAATATCTATTTTTAAATGAATTACAGATTTCTTACCCATTTTTCAGTAAATATTGAAACAGACTTTCATTTTGTGAAATCAGCCAGATACATGACTAATCAGACTTAATTGGAGTGCTGCAAAAGCTGAACAATGAAAGCATTTGAAAACTAAAGATCTGTGTTCTTACATTTTTAGTTATTTAGTGAGTAGCATGTGAACAAATCTTGGGAAATTTGTGATTGTTCAGAAATAAAGCAACCAGTTTTTAGTACCAAGCATGCAAAAGAGAGACAATGGAAACAAGATCCTTTGAGTACCATGATTGAACTGGAGTCTGGCAGTTTGCTGCATGTATGGACAGGATTTGTGCAGTCTGTGACAGACTGAATTTAATTGAGGTCTATCTAGACCACTGTTACTCCTTCTGTGACTCCAGTTGGCACAAAGGAGAGTAAGGAAAATTCATTTGTGTACTTTTATACCTAGGTTGGGGCTCTTTGGAAGTGAGGAGGCCTTAGCAGGCAGATTCAATTGCAGAAGGTGAGAAAGTTAAACTGGGATTTGAACCTCAAATTGCAAGAGCTGTGGATGGGTAGGATTTGAGGAAGGATGCCAAACTACAAGGGTGATAGACAAGTACAGAGAAGTCCAGAATGCAGAGAGTAGGACTATAAGATAGGAATGGAGGCTGAAGAGGCTATGAACATAGATAAGAAGAAAAACAGATGTCCTGGGAATAAAGAATGAAAATAGAATTGGAATTCAAGAGACGTCTGGGCTGGTGCTGGGACAGGGAGGGAGAAGGTCAGGAACACTAGGGGACATGTTGGGGCTGGAAGTGGGAGGTTTGCAAGAGGACAGGTTAGGGAAGAAATGTCTTTAGGTTTCTTTGCAAATTTGGCACTGAACCAAAGCACAGACATTTGTACAAATATGAGAGTATAATCTAATTGCTTTAAAGATCTTAGATCTGGAATCGACCCAACTGTGGACTCAGGGTGATTTCACAACTTACAGGGGGTTTTTTCCATTTTTAAACTTGAAAATAATTCTAAAATATATCCCACAAAGCTCTAGGGTTGGTATAATCTGGTTTACAAAATTATAAAAGTAGATTTTCATTTTGTATAATTTACTTGCTTGGCATTCTTTCTTATTAACAAGTTTTATATTAGGATTTGTCATTTCTTGAAAGGGTAATTTTACAAATTTATTGTCTTCTAATGTACTTCATTGTTCAGTTACCTTTTTAAGGAGTACTGATGTACATCTCAGGTTTTGTAGGTGGGCAGTTTATAGTTCCTCCATTCAAAAAAACTTGGTTGCCATATTTTCTTCACTATCCAGACTACATGATTTTACCATTAAATCTTTCTGTTTGCTCTCTGGTATGCATATTTTGACGCGTTATATTATTATATATCCACTACTTGAAAAACAAGCTCCTGTGATTAAAAAACCTTTCAAACCTTACAAAAGACAGTTCAAGTCCCTCTCTGAGTATTCCCTTTTCTCCTTTAGTCTAGAAATAATTTTTTTGGTAACAATTATATCCCTGCATTAGCAAACTTCAGGCATCATTGACAGGTCAGCCTAATGGCAGAGAGACATAAAGGAATTGAGACCTCATTCTAGATGGTTCTTACATGTGGGATTTTTTTCATTGGCTCAATCTGTTATTTCTCTTTGATTCCCAACCCTCATTCTTCTGTGAGACTAAAAACTCTACTCTTCCATTATATCAAGTTTGCTAAAATTTCTCGACGGAGAAAAATCCTGCAGAACCACATTCCACTGTTTGGGTTTTTTCCATAATAGTAGTATTAAAGCATAGGGTGGTTTTGGTTTTTTTTGGTTTTTTTCTTTTTGTTTTCCCTCAGAGACCATCTAGGCAGATAAAGGAATGTATTTCAGCACATTGTTACATGACTCTATACACACATGCACACACACTTGAGCTGACATAGTAGCCAAGAAAGCAGAGATACTATCTGGCCAAGTAAAAGCAAATATGACAAAGAAATTCTGAATGGTGCTGTGGTGAAGGAGTTACTAGTGAGATCAACAGTGTAGTAAGGTTAAAAGAAAACTGACCTGTCATTGCACCTTGCCAGTGCAAAACAGATCACACTCATGTAAGCTACTTCAAATTTCCAAAACAAAGGATAAAATTTCTGTCTGAAGTTACTGCTCATAATTGGGTAGAGAAGCATGCTCTGAAGGCACCCAGTTGATTGAGTAGAATCGTCAGAGAACTACAGACTTCTCCACCAAGTATAGAAAATAGGTACAGAGAAGTATGGATTGCCTCTGTTCGTGCATATTTCCAGTGTGCCAGCTCAGTACAGTGCAGGTCATTGAAGCTCAGAGTGGTTGAAGGTCTGAGACTGTGTACAGGACGGCATTGCTATTTGTTTTGTGTTGAGGTGGAAGGCGTGAATTTGTTGTTGGAAGTCAATAAATATAACTAATAATTAAATTAAATTTGTGTGTTTCATTGCACTGTTGGCTGAATGACATATATCTTCATTAAGACTTAACTAATTTTGGACCAAAGCATTCTTCCCAGGATTATAAACAATGTGTATACCAGAACAGATTTAGTGACATGTCTGCAGCCACTGATGTGCAAAGTGTGGAGTATTCAAGACTGCTGAAATTATTTTTGTGTGGTAAAATGAAAACAGGAACATACAGTCAGGAAACAGTGATGAAAGTATCAGCACATGAAAAGCATCCCTAAACAAAAATGACTGAAGTAGTTGATAGGTAAGTGGCATTTAGCAGCTTGAGTGCCATAACTCTGAGAGCAAATGTCATGGTATTAAAAAAAAAAAAAAAAGTTTGTTTTTAAAACAAAATTGTTTTTAAAAGAAAAACTTTAGATGAGCTCAGTATGCAAAACTTCCAAGCTCTGCTCATGCAGTGAGGAAACAATCTTATTCATGCATTGGACTATTTATACATAGATGGATGTCTACAGAGTGATTATCAGGATCATCATAATGACACCTGTTTGTTCTGTTCAAATTAATTCCAGTGAAAATTGCTCCCTCTTTGTGCCTTAGAAACATTCCATCTGAAATCCTCAGGGAAAATATTTGAAGTAATCCCCTTGTTTTTGTTAAATGCTCTCCATCCCACCTAAAGATTAGGTTCTAAATAGGGTGGAATTGTGTTGCAACTGTTGTTTGATAGATGACAGCTAGCACAACAGCCATGCTGGGGTAGAGTAAAGGTTTATCTGGCAATCCTGCAATTTGTTGTGAAGAGGCTTCAGTGTGAGAAGTACCATCTTGCATTTAATGGTTCCCAAAGGATTTCTCTGCTGCAAGTAGTTCAGTATTCTCTCAAATAAGTGTTAGTTTTTAGCATCCACAGCATCTTATGGTAAAGAATTCCACAGCTTTCATGCATGAAGAGCAATTCATATTCTCATTCTGCATCATTAGATGACTTCTTATTCATCTATTGGAAAATACAGTTGATTCCTATCTCCATTCTCCATTCTCATGATGTGACAGGCCCCTTATTTCTTCCTTTTCCTTATACCATCTCTTTTCCAAGCTGTAGAGTCCTAGTTTGCTTTGGTGATTTGTTCCACACAGTGCAATTGTTGGAGTGCGTGATGTTGCTGCATGTCAGAGGTAATGCTGCATGTCCTAACCTTCTCTGATGCTCTGACACTTCTGTTCCTTGTGAGGTGAGGTACTAGAATGGTTGTCAGCATTCAGTAATTCAAGCAACAATATGGAATTGCAGAGTGACACAGTGAGTTCTGTATTATTTATTTTTTCCACAGCAATTTCTAAAATGTTTGTTTTTACTATTATTTAAAACTGAACCAAAGTTTTAATGGTTTTGTCAACTATAATAAATCCCATGATCTCACTTATGAATGAAGACAGTCAGCTAGGTGTTCATCATTTTATGTATATTTTAAGGAGCATTTTTAAAACCTTACTGATTTACTTTGCATATATCTCTTTTGAATTTTATATGTTATTTAATGCGAAGATTCATTAGATTTTCTCCTGTTTTCACATCATCTAAATTTTCATCTATCTAATATTAGAGTATTCTGTCAGCAAATTTTTTTACACCTCATTTTTGAGATTGCCTGTTAAGTAGAATGAATGAATAAAACAGATGAAGTCCGCTTCTAAGTGGAATATTATTTGTCCTTATAAATACCTTATCGCGATTTTCTATAAAATTATTCTTCATTTCTGCTTTTTGAAAAGGATCTGTGATTCTGACTGATTGTGGAAATAATTACACCATTGTGGTCTGACTTTTCTATCTTCGGGTATGGAAAAAGCAGTGTTGCTGATACCCATGATATCTCAAAGGGTGCACCACTGATATCACTGCTGTCTAATGCCACTTCTCCCTACCACATGTAACACATGGTGGTGAAGAGGGAGGACAAAATTTTGTTAATGTCTCTCCAGTGAAAAGACTTCAATGCATATATTTGTGTACCAAGAAGGAGATTCACATTGATCTAACTCCTTAAGAATAAGGAAAATAAGGTATGCTTCAAGTCATTGTCATTTGATTCTGCATTAAGAACATATTCAGAAAAGCCATTGACAGAGTTTTCCACCTACCATGTCATATTGTCTTTATAATATTGAATTTTCCTAGTGCTGTTTCAAATACAGGTTACAGTAGTTACATACTAATACTTACTAAGGTCTTCAAAATACTGTGTTAGTTTTTGAAATTTATACCTGTGATGAGCAGAACTAGGATATATTCCAACTTCGCTTATTTTTGAATCGTCAAAACTTATTTTTTGATTTTTCTTTTAGGTATAGACAAATGCAACTTGGCACAGAAAGCAAAGTTGCTGAGCTTCTTCACCAAAGTAAGTTAAAGTCCTTTGAAACTGAACATGTTCAACTCATGCAACAAGAAACAGCTAAGAATCTTTCACAGTGCCAAATGGAATGTGAGAAATACCAGAGAAAGCTGGAGGTATGTTATATAAAGAGACACTTCACAGGGCATTACATAGTTGTTTTCAATTTGAGTGTAAAGTGGAAAAGCTTGGAGAAAAAGTAACAACATGGCATGGCTGAATTAGTATCTCCACCAAACTGTGGTCAAATGACACAGAAGCAAGGTCAAATGACAAAGCTTTGATCAGCTTAATGGAACACACCACTACAGGGAGAGGAAAAAGCAAAACAATCGCTCATGGAAAGATGTTAAAGACAGTACCTCATTCATGTGGGGTTTATTTATCTGCTTATGTTAGTCTGTGTGAGAATTATAGGGAGAGAAGGCAGTTTCACCAAAAAAAGTGCAGTGAGTTCAGTATCATTATTTGCAGCTAGGATCTATAATAGCATTGTTACATAATGAAATACTTGTTATTGATATACCATTCTGGAACAAATTTTTCACAGCTAAAAAAGTCAAGGTGAGCGTGGTGTATACAGCATTGAAAAGACCTAACCTTGCTAGTCTTAGCATGATAGGTTACCTTGGTGGGGTGCTAGACACCCACCCAGTCACTCATTCCTCCTCCTGAAGAGGATGGGGGTGGGGTAGATAAGCTTGTGAAGAGTATGGGTTGATATAAAGGTAGGGTTGTCACTTGCCAATTACCATCCTGGGCAAAACTGATTTGACCTGGGGAAAACTAATTTCACTTAATACCCATTGACATGGATTGGATGATGACAAACAGAGAGAAAAAGTAAACCCTGTTCTGTTCCCCACCCTGTTCTCTTTTATTTAACTTCCCTCCTTCATTTCTGACTCTTGTACCTCGCCCTTCTAGTGCAGTGCAGGGAGGAATGGGAAATAGGGGTTCAAGTCTGTCCATGACAGCTACTCTCAGATGGTGTTTCCTCCTCGCATTTTTTTATCCTGCTCCTGTGGATCCTCTGTGTCCTGCTGCTTCTTTCAGGAGAAACTCTCCCTCCTATTTGAGCTCTCCACAGGCTGCAGTACCTTCTGGGGATGCCCTTCTGCTCCAGCATGGGGTCCCCTATGGGCTGCAGTGTGGACATCTGCTTTGGTGTGGTCTTTCATGGTTTGCAGGCTGGGAACCTGCTTCATCATGGGCTGCAGAGGGGATCTCTGCTGTGGCAGCTGGAGCACCTCCTTCCCTCCTTCTCTCGCCTCAGTGTCAGCATCATGGCACTCTCACTTTTTTCCTCTCACTCCTTACTGCTGTGCAGCACTTTTGTGCTTTATTAAATACAATTTCCTTGGCTGAGGGACACAGCTTGGGCACTGCAGCCAATGCAGCTGTTTATGTGGGCTTTAACCACTTGGGCCTCTTTATCTCTACAAGCTTAGAATTTGTCATCTTTAAAACATACATATCATATCCTGTTCACTTATTTTAATCTTGGAAATGTGCGTATTCCACAGAGAGCACTTACTTTAAAATAAAATTTCTTCACCTGTCCAAAGTTAGTCCCAAAAACATATGGCAGAGTCCTATTTATGAGATTAAATGAGATTGGTAGTATATGTTTCAAACGAATGTCAGGATACAAACTGGACAGGACAGAAGAAAGTGATATGTATAGCAGCCTTTGTTTTTTGGGGGAAGGATGCCAGTCTTCAGTTCCCTACATTTCTAGTTCTGAACCTGGCTAAGTTGTTTATGAAAAGGAGCTATAGAGTGGAAACAGAATTTGAGAGCTTCAGATAGACTGTAATTTCTTGTTTTGTCCGTATTGGGACATTCAGATCCTGGCTGATGAGGTTAGTTGTGGTCACAAGCAGTGGGAGTGCCAGTTTTGCTAAACTTAGAGGTTGCTAAACAGATTTTTAATTACACAGACATGTCTAAACTTGGAGAATGGAGTTCATTTGAGTTATATTTTCATTTTCTTTGTGGAAATTTTTTGATCTGACAATAACTCAAATATTTGGCATTCAATTCTACTGACACTTTTGGCACTTGTTTTTTCTCTTTAGAGAGACACTTTTAAATTCTTTCATTAAGAAATATGCACTTAAGTGCTCTTTCATTAAGAAATATTCTTGCAGAATTTAAATATTTGATGTCTGAAACTTTTATTTTTGTTCCTTTTGACTGAATTCTTGGGTTTTTTTAATTTTATTTCTTACATATAGCATTAATGTACTAAGGCTTTTTCCCTACCATTACAGGACATTAGTCTTTATTGATAGTGTAGGCACTGGTATCTTGTGGCTCAGCTATAACTTTCTGGACTAACTCTTGCTTTTATTTAGGGCATAGAGTACTTTCTCTTGCCAAACTAGAAAACAGATGGTTTTTATGTTGCCCAGTTTTAATGTACACATTTATTTCTTCTGTGACACTAGACTGAACTTTTTATATTCAAGTGGCTTGTTTCTCTAAGCATTGTGAATTCTTTCATGGTTTCGACAGTGACTCTAGTATTACTGCTCTGCACACTGTGCATATATTTCTGTATCTCCAAATCTATATTCACTTGTCATTCTGAATGTTTGTGATTTTTACTTAGGAAGTTAGTATGAAATTTCATGGCAGTACCGCTTGGTTATTACTTTACCTGTTTTGGTGGGATTTTTTCTGCAAAGTATGTAGATTGCTGCTTTCCATACCAAGGACTTTCTTATTCCAGTTTGGTGTGTATTTATTTGGTCAATGTTGTTTCCTATTATCAAGCACTTTATCAAACTTAAATTATTATACAGGCCTTCATAGCTTTTAATTTTGAATATGAGAGTTTTTAATTTAAGCTTAGTGGATTAAGTATTTACATACATCTTGAATGTTGATAGCATATTACCTTTCATTAATAAGTAATAAGACTGGTATAGCTTTAATGGCAAATTTTTATATTTGTATTCTGCAAAGGAATCTTCATAAATTGATGACTGAAATCAGAATCCAGTTAAAGCACAAAAATGATTGCATTTACACTATTTTGACTGCTGTGTGTGAATTTTTTTAGTTGTTACCTGGCTTTTGCTAAGTTTCCTTTAAAATTCTTGTGGCTTTTTCAGACAGCCTCCTTAGAATTACCAAGGCCTCAGCTGATAAGATCTGAGAGTTTAGTCTTTGCAAGAAAATATTATTGAAAGAATAACTGCTTTTTAAAGTATTTTAATCTTCACTGTGCAAAACTTACATCAGATATTTGATATCATACTGGTACACATTTTACATGTATTACATTTTGCCTCTTTAAAAAATCACTGTAATGCTGAATCTCTGATCTTTTCATTATTCATTCTCACAGGTGCTTACAAAGGAATTTTATAGTCTTCAATCTTCTAGTGAAACTCGCATTATTGAGCTTCAAACACAGAATTCTGAGTTTCAAGCAAGACTAGATACTTACGAAAAACTTGAAAAAGAGCTTGATGAGATAATACTGCAGACAGCAGAAAGTAAGTTCTGTCACAAGTTGTTTTATCTGTAGGTGTTTCTGGCATTACAATATCTTTTTTCTCATGACTTGGAAAGAGTTACAGTGCCTGTCATTCTCCTTCATTATGCCTGACAAGTAAAAGGCAGTAATTATTTTGATAGAAAATATTAATGGCAGGTTTTTAAGTGTACCTGTAAATATGTATCAAACATCCATATGTCTAAGTTTGTGCTTATTGAAAATCATCTCAGTATTCACTCATTTTTCTTTTCCTTATTCTAATTATCCATTATAATTAGATATACTCTTCAGGATTCTTCGATTACTTTAGTACATTTTAAATGTCAGGAAGCCCTCTTTGTTGACAGGCAAATACAGGTTTTATATTTCAGTACAGTGATTAATGTGAATTTTTTAACTAATTGGAAGGAGGAAAAAACCTCTTCCTTCTGTTGAATTAATAATAATTAGACATTAAGTAGTTGCTTGTGGCAGTTCAGTCTGTTCCAAGTACTAAACCATGGATTAAATTCATACCTGATTACTCTTGAAAATTTTTGTCTCTCATTTGCTAAAATTAAAATGTTCCCAAACACAGCAAAATTTGTGTAAAATCTGTATTCATTTTGTTCTCAGCCTAAATCAATCCATCCACAAAGCAATTAATTTCTAATTTGAAACTCTGACTCTAATCTTGAAATCTTCTGGCCAATGTGTAGACAGAGCAGGATATACTAAAATTTCAGACTAATTCAACTGTCATCTTCTCCTTTTCTCCTTCTTTCCTCCTTCAAAAAATAGTCACAATTTATAAAGTATAGAAGATTATTGCATAAGCTTCATATGTAAACAGTAGTCTAGCAAAGTGTGCATTACCAAGATGCAGTGATGTTAGTAACCAGACTGCACATGTTTTATTAATTTTATGCACTGCAGCCTGTACTTAGAATGGCCTGAGTACCCAACGGTTCCGGTCTGACCATAAGCATGTTTGCTGTATACACGCTTCTGGTTTAGTCAGTAATACATTTTTTGAAGTATGTATATATATATATACTTGCCTAAGGAGTTTTTATGTATTAACACAGAATTTTTGGACCTTACCTTCATTTTCTTCAAGGAGAAAGTAGAGTTCAGAACACTAGCTTTTGTTTACATTTTCTTATGCATCTTGGGACAACAGTTAAGTTTTTTACCAGATCATTCTTAACTTCTTCTTAAATATCTATTTTAATTACAATTTACATTCTATGCTGCAGAATGGTAAAGAAAGGGAAGTTTCCAAATGAACTATGATTTTAAAATATAGTGACTTTATTTTCTGATTTCCTTGGAGAAAAAAAGGAGTTATGGCTTAATATTATTTCAGTATACTTTCTATTTAATACTGAACTTGCTATTTCAGTGTATTTGATATAGAAAGTTAAGAATAATTCTAATTAAGTCTAGTATCTTAGGGAAAACAGAAGAAAAAAAGTATTTTTTTTAAAAAACACTTTGAAGGAGAAGACAGATATAGTTCCTCCTCAAATTATGCCCTGATTGCTATATGTCATAAATAGGTAAAGGCAGAAAAATAACTGAAAGGAAATATAAGTATTTTTCAAATCTAGTGTGTTATGGAAATACTTCAGTCCATCTTTCTTGGAATATAATTTAGGCTGAAGTATTGTGTGGAAGACAATTAGAGTTTTCTACATACTTTTGTGATAATAAGGATTAGTCTTCATTCCTGTGGTCACCTCTTTATATTTAAATAGCATATAATGCTTTTTTCTTCACCCTGAGTCATGAAGCCTCTGCTGTTTTGGGGATGTCAGTGAGGGTTGGGTTCTCTGGACTTTTTAATAAACTGTGTATTTATTTACACATGTGAGATAGCTTTTGTCATATAATATATAAATTATATATATATATATATATATATATATATATATATATATGCACTTTTATTTCCCTTTGGAAAATATGCATGTGGAAGAGATCACTGAATTTTTACTGTTACTCCCTGATTGTTATGCCTCACTTTATTAATATTGAAATGACATGGAACAGCCTATTCAGGAAGCTATCAAGAATTTATATAGCCACTTCTTACAGTGCCTAAGAGGTTTCCAGATGAATAACGGTAGTAAATTTCCTTGGCATTTCCTTGTCTGTTCTTCCTTTTCAGGGTACAATCTTCACATTAGGGTATTTTTGTTGTAGAGTAGTTTGATTTTTCTTGTTTCTGTTGCTTAGTATCTTTCTAAGAAAAAGATGGAACCTATCTATATCCTCACAATGGCACATCCTTGCTGAGTAGCATAAGAAACTGTCATTAAGAAGTGTCCTCTAGCTTATAAAATGTATATTTTACACCAAAGTCAGGTGAAGAGCCTGGAATGTTCTAAAAGAAGATCTTAGAACTGATACACACTGATACAGAATATTATTTTGATATCTACATTTCCAATTTCTTTTGTGTTTGTCTTCCTGATGTGACATTTACTGGACACTAGAGACAGATCTGAATTTACAGAAGAGGATCTTACTGACATTTTTCTGAGACATTCGACACTGAATATGAAACCAAAAAGAAGGGTATTAACAAAGGCAGGTTAAATTATTCTTTATGTTTTTCTGAACCAGAGGTGTTTACAGCACTGAAGAATCCCCTGTGATATTTAAGACAGCTCTGAAGTGCTGGTGTCTTTGTAGTGCCACATTAGTAAACTTTTTCTGTCATACTTACTGAAATTTCTATATCGTTTTTAATGTAACTAGATGTGTGACTTACCACTGATGTTCTTCTAGAAGCTTTGGAAGCTTTTCTCTTTCTAAGAGAATCCTTGTTTAAAATAGCATTACAAGGGTATTAGACAAGTGAGAGAAGAAGTTACAGCATTTTGCAAGTTGTTGAGAAATTGAGGTATTTCTGATTTTGAGGCACTTGAGCATTTAGAAAGATGAGTCAGATAGGACTCACATAATTTCCTACATTTGTTTCTCCTGTTCCCAACTATTTGATTCATCAGAGCTTTTGTGTGGTGCCTGGGCTGGTGTTTACTTGTTCTCCCTCCTTCTCTCACGCCCCTGCCGCTCCCATTTTTCTCATTGTCCCCCTTTACCCCTCCTCTCTGTCCCACTCCCTCTGCCTCTTTCTATTTCACACATACACTTGCTCTTTTTCTTTTTCCTTTTTTTTTTTTTTTTTACCCCTGTCCCACTTCGTCTTACAGGAGAGTGGAAACCTGAATTCCAGAACTTGAAATATGAACATAGACATTTTAATCTTGCTGCTATTGGGATTTTCTTCCAATGCAATTATGATTTGTTTAAAACTCTTAGAAATGTGTTTTCAGAAATCAATCATCTATGGAAGCAGAGATTATTTTTAATATTTCTATTTTGCATGTACTTAAGAATCTCTTTTTTACCCTTCTCTGAAGAAATGGATGGCATTTGTTTTCATCAAGTGTGGTGAAATTTCTGATCACCACAGCCTTTCAAAAACCATAGTGAGCAGCTTCACTGTGACATCAGCTCCCTTTGCAACATCAGATGTGTCCCTTCTGGTCCCTGGACTTGGTTATGTCCTGTCACCTTAAACACTCCCAAATTTTGTCTTCCTCTGCCTTCTCATGTATGCGCTGAAAATTAATTATTTAGATTAAAAACTTAAGCAACTTAACCTTCTACTGCTGAAGTAAACTTACACAAGTAGTATGTATTTTGTGACCATACCAACAGTATGAATATTCAAGGTAACTGGACTATTTTCCTTTACTTTTGTATTGCATAAGTCTTACGTTAATTATAAAAATAAAAAGTGTTGTAAGCAATTAAAGTGTGGCACTAAATTTAATGCTAATGGTGAAAAAAACTGTTCCATTCAACTGTTCCATCCATTATTTACAGAAGGTTGCACCAACTGGAAATTTAGCTTCTAGAAAAATGTTTGTGCATGTTGAGTTGTAAATAGAATTGCTTATAAGTTTATAAGTTCTGTCACTGTTCTTCAACAGCACCTTTCTGCATTTTTTTGCAGTGGAAGATGAAGTTGAAGCTGAAAGGGTTCTTTTCTCCTATGGCTATGGTGCTAATGTTCCTACAACAGCCAAAAGACGACTAAAGCAAAGGTAAAAAAAGATTACCTCATGAATTTACTTGTTCGAGATAAAGTAAATTGAGATTACGTGCATTATGTTTTGTATTAGAATCCAGCCAGTTTGATTAACATAAAGAGGTTGTTTAATGACTTAAGTATACAGGAATAGATTGAGGACTAGGACCTGTTAATGTAGTTGATGCATATGAATGAGCATATTTTTCTAGGTCATTTTAAAATCTCTTCTCATTGACTTTTAGAAAGATTAATTATAATTGTATAAAATTAAGCAGCTGTAAAAACAGATTAGTTACATTGTTTACATTTATATAATAGCATATGCATTACTAATACCCTAAAAATCATTGTATTTAATAGTAAGAAAAATATGTCTGTCAGGATATTAAGAAGGACAGTGGTTCAGAGCATCACTATTTTATCTTCACTAATACAGGATCTTATTCCTCTTGCAGTTTGCTCTGGTTTGGCCAATTTGAGAATTTGATCAATAGACTAAAATGATGAATAGGTGAAAAACATACCTCTTGATCATAGTCATTTCGAACTAATTTATTTATGTTATGCATTGTCATTAAGAAATAATAGTGACATTTGAATGGCTCATTGTGAGCCTGTGTGTAGTGGCTATGACTCACTTCTCCCACACAGCTAACAGCAGGGTAAAAGGAAATGACCTCAGGCTTGCCAGGGGAGGTTCAGGTTGGACAATTTCTTCACAAAAGTGGTTGTCAAGCATTGGAATAGTCTGCCCGGGAAGGTGGTGGAGTCACCATCCCTGGAAGGTGTGGAGTTTGCAAAAAACCTTCATAACCTTGTTGCGCACCTGGCTTAGATAACTGTTGAGAGCTCTATAGCACCATTTCCTAAAGCTTCAGTTTATTCCTCTTTTGTCAATAGTTTGGGCACTTTTCTGAATTTCCACTTCGAGGCTTCTTTTTCCATACCTTAATAGATTCAGTTTAGATTATTTACATATATGAAAACCCTGTTGAATTTCCTTTGAATGCTGAACCTGATGATCAGACCAGGATTTCAGATATGCTTGGAAGACACTTTCTGAGCTTTGAAGCGGCTCTACTGGAATGACTCATATACTCCACTTTTGTTCCAAAAGGCATTGACTAATAAACTGACTTAATCCTTCATAATAGTGTTAGAGACTTCATAGAGTTTCTTTATCTTTTAGAATTAAAAAGATTTAAAAAGCCATAAAAGACTGCGTATGGTTTACCTGCTGTTTTGATTCAAGGAAAACTTCCAGGCAGATAATGTGTGTGGTGCCTTTGGCTGCCAAAGTTTTTAAAAGCAAAGACTCTGACACCATCCTCTATTTAGCCCCATTAAAGAAAGACAGATTATTTTCTGCTCTAAAGTATTGCTTAAGAAAAGACAATCTATTACAAATGTGAATAATCTTTCTGGAGTCCACTACCTCCTCTTTAATCCCAGACATAGGGGATCCTAAATGAAGAGCTCTTTTAAGCTCACATCTTGCACTTCAGTCTCTGAATGTTTGTACAAAATGGACCCTTTCAAGCAGTGTAGGGTCCATGCCTCTTTGCCCACTTGCCAGAAACAACTCTTTCATTACTTCAGACATAGGCATTGTGCACCCTAGTACTAAACTGAGAGTACCTGGGAATGCCCTGAAGCATCAAGACCAAATGGTCTGTAGTAACCCATTGCCACAAAACAGTTCTCAGTGTAGGTGAAGCTACACATGAACAACATACTGGCAATGGTTTGCTTGCCCATGCTGACTTCTCAGCAATGCCTAGGAACTGCTTAGGAAGTGTTAATGAGAGAATACAGAACAGTACTAGGGTGACTTTGGTGGTTTCCTGACAAGGAATTACCACTTTTGAGAACTGCATCATTTTCTAGTATAATTGAAATCAAATGTTTCCAGTGTAAGGTGTCTTTGCACATCAGTCCCTTTGTCTCTTTGCTTTCAATTCAAACTAGTCAAAAAACGTACTGAAAACTATGCTTGAAAGCTGTACTTGTGTTATCCTTAAATATTTGCCAATTCAGGTGAAGTTCACTGAGTAGTTGTAGCTGGGAAAATTACAATGCGCTACATTCCTAAATTTGCCATGGGAAGGTATCCAAGTTTTCACTTACACTCTAATAGCTACTAGTCAAAGAAGTGTTCCTTTCTGTTTTGTACTAGATGAGATTAGTGCATGAAAGAGTATCTTTATAACACAGATGAAGATTATTAAGACTTCTGCCAAGTCCAGAAGTCTATTCCATTTTACTGAGAAAGAGATGAATGTTATGACTGGTCAAATTTTCAAATAAACTTCATGCAGTCATCTAGATTTATGCATGCTTAAGCCTGAGCTTCAAGTCAGTCAGTCTACTTTAAACTGCTTACCCTCTCATAGATTCTGTATCATAGTCAGGAACTGGTTGTGGAGTTACTCAAGAACCACCTGGGTGCAGTCCTGCACAACGTGCTCTGGAGGTTAGACCAGATGACCATTGTGCTCCCTTCCAACCTTGTCCATTCTGTGATTCATAAGAGAGTTTGGAAGACTAGGTTAGATGTCTGTTAGTAGGCTCTGCAGTGCATATTGAATCTTCCCTTTGCTGCCCATGGACCTGTGCTCTTGAATGGGTAATAAACTCTTTGATTCTGGACACGAAGCTTGCAAGAGGCTGAGGATCTAATTTTTTAACTAGGTTGTTTAAGTAGCTCAATAATTCTAATTCTCCACATAAGGGTTTATTTAAAACAAAATTGGCAATAACATTAAATTATTGAGCGTATTAAATGTCAGACAAAACAATTTTGCCTCTCTTTTCAAAGTGATAAAATACTACATTTTCAGTGTTTTGCTGCAAAACATGTTAATGAGCATCTTTAAACAATTATTTGTTAGAATTAAAGTGAGTCAGTAAAGTTGCTAAAAAGTAAATAATCATAATTAGATGAAGAATTCTGACAGTATTTCTACAGTTGTATAGTATTGGTACAATATTCTACCAATTTCTTATACAAATTGTATAAGTAATTACTACACATAAAATATTACAATAGCGTAACTGTAGGAATGTTGTTTTAGTGCTGTTACATTTTGTAATATTTTCTCCTTTTTTCTAACTTTAACCATGCAGCATGTTTAACTATGTAGTTTCTATATGATAATATTTAAGCATTGGTGAAAAATTAAGGCAATCAAGTCCTGAAGCATAAATATCAGAATTTCTTTTGCCTATTTTGGAGAAAATTCAAGTTGAGCTTGCTTTTTACTGGCACAGTGTTCACTTGGCAAGAAGATTACTGCAGCTAGAAAAGCAAAACTCATTGCTTGTGAAAGATCTGGAACATCAGAAGGAACAAGTAACACAGATTTCACAAGAGGTAAATCATTATTACACAAAAATTCAAATATGTAGAAACATTGCGGAACAGCTGTTCATAAAATGAAATATTTTCTAAACAGTGTTTTTTATCTATTTGATGTTAAAAAAAAGGCCTCATAATTAACCAAAACTCCATGATAGAAGTTTTCAAAGAAGTTTATATTGTGTTTTGCAACTAATATTGAAAGGAGGATTACTTTACAGGCTAAACAAGAATGCGAGCCAGACAGACAACATTTTGATTTCTGAACAGAAGAACAGCCAGCCAAGCTAGTTTGTTCTGTTTGATACTTAATTGTTCAATGAATGCATCACTACTTCTTACACAGCTCTTCTGTTAAATCACTTTTGAAGATATTTAACAAACCTCAGCTGCAAATGTCCCAGAATTCAGGCAGACTAATTTTTTAAAAAATCTTTAAATTGTCTTTTAATTATTCTCATAGGAATTAAAAGACAACTAGGTTTTCTCTTAGATGTTGCCACCATATGTAATTTGTAAGCTTACTATTTCAGGAATGTGGTTAATTTTTAAAGCCTCAGTAATTACAAATTAAAATTACTACACTCAAGTACTTCACAGAGTGCAAATACTTGAATTTCTACATATTTTAAATTACATGAATTAGATAAATTTTATGTGTATATATATGTTTATTTAGATTATTTCAGTGAAAGATACATGAACAGTGAAGTTTGGGGATTTTTTAACCAATACTATAATTTGTTATGTATTCTTAGGTATATCATGGTAATTTCTATTTGACTAAAACATATTCTTTCAGGTTCTTATTTGGAAGACATCAGAAAATTGGTGAATCCATTGTTATACTTGGTATTCTTCCATATCACTATTCTTTGTCTTAATTTTTTCTGTGTTTCACTTCAATACATTCCTTACCCACAGTAGTTTTATACTTGTTTCACTGATGAAAAATTCAGTATCACTGACCTTAGTTCAAATTCCTGCAACTTTCCACTGGAACATCTTCAGCCTATTTTTATCCTGCCTTTAAATTTTTGATATTTTACCATATAATTGTATAGATTAAATCACAATACAATCCAGTACAAAGTTAAACATTGTTTTTTTTGTGTAAAGTTCTAAAACTAAAACTTTTTGGTATCTTTACATAATTTTTACTCCCAGCTATTGTCTTCCTTGCGTTTTTTTATATAAGAACAAACAAGAGATCCTGTAGACTACAGCATGCTTAAGTAGCCCATTATTTTTCTTTCCACTGACAGTTTGTTCAGTCATCTAGATGAAGTCTAGAGCATGGATAAAAAGCTGATGCAAAAGTGATTTTATCAGCTTCTGGCTTGAACTTGGTTCAAATACTGCTACTTAAGTGCAGTATTTATGATACAACCTTTTCAGCTTTCTAAAGGAGGGAGGAAAAGACCACAGTAAGTCAATAAGACCATAAACAGAGGCATTGACTCTACTGGCTTTTTTAATCAATGGAAGGTGTAACATTAAAACCCTTGAAAATGCAGATTAGGGAAGTGTAGAGAGTGGTACCATTATTGCAGTGAAAATAGCATACAATTAGAAGAGAAAAGTGTAAAGATAATGTACTAGTAATCAATTTGAAGATGGTATGTTTCCTTTTTTGTGTATGTAATAAAAGGTTTGGAGTTTATATTAATATGCAGTTGGTAAAAATCAATAATAATTCAGTAATAATCAAGTAATTGTGCTTTATAAGTTAAAAAATTTATAGTAGTTATACCGTTTTTTTGCAGCTTGACAGAGCAAATTCTTTGTTGAACCAAGCACAACAGCCATACAAATACCTCATTGAAACTGTGCAACAGAGAGATTCTCAAATAAGTCTACAGAAAGAACATATTACACAACTTGAAAAAGATTTCAGGTAATTAAAATCACTGATTCTTGTTTTACTTTCTTTTAAATTGAAGGTAAAAGCACTTACATTTTTTTCATTAGGAAAAAAATTGTGCTATTGTCCACAAAGTTGAGATGTTAACACTCCATCACTGACCAACTCCAGTCTTCGTGCTGGACTGTAGCACTTGTTATTTCTCTCACAATGTCAGAAGAGGGTACTTTAGTTTTGGAAAAGTAGCTGTGACAGGTTTAAAGTGAGTTTGGAGTTGAGAAGAGCTCTCATGAAGTAGAGAAGAGTTCAAAAGACTAAAAGGAAAGAATGACACACCAGTCGTACAACAGTAAAAATCAAGAAAAAAGTCAGAGAAAAATTATAATAGAGTAGTCCACCAGTAAAGGGTATTTCAGCCAAAATTAGAGCATATGCTCTCATGCAGACTCTGATTTGCTGCTGTATCCATCTGTCAGAGCTCTCTAACCACTGAGCAACTTCCCTAACTTCTGATTCCCAGGTAGGCTGTTACAAAATAATACGTCCCTTGATTTTCAAGGAAGTTGATAGCCGAGTCCCACTGCTCTACAGAAGAATTAGCATTTTAAGTATTAGGTGTTTATGTGGTGTCTTGGTTTAGGAAAAGCAAACAGTAACTATTAGGAGACATTAATGTGATTCTGTTATGAAGCAATTACATGAAAAATACAGGATTTTCCACTAATCTACTGAAGCAATTAAAATAAAACAGGGTTCACTCTAGCTAATACTTAGTCTTACATACTGTCATACATATGTATCTATTCAGAGTATTTTGATGGTTTGGGATGGTATTTGTTATCCCTTGAGGAATACTTAAAAATGCTTATTATCCTAGCAAATATGAATCAATAAGTTTATAAATAAACTGAAATATTCATTCATAGTTCCTGACAAGGTATTTTTCACTGAGCTTAATTTTGATTCAATAAGAATAGACCTTTCTTTTAATTCCAGAATCAAGTGTTTTTAATATTTTCCTAGACTTGTTACATTATAAGAAACACCTCAAAGATAAATAATATTTTTCCAGAAAATGAAAAATACCAGTGTTCTCTATATACAGTGTCTTACTTTCCATTTGTGAAAAGTATCAAAGAATTGGTCACAAATTTTTAGATTATGGTAATAATAATGGAATGCTTTTGTTACTCACAAAGTAGTCCAAAAGTCTCTCAAAAGGAAGATAGAAGGGGACTACACAGGTGAAGTCATTTCTAAAAGTATATGTTTCATGCTTTAAAATCTAAAAGAACTTAAATGTGTTATTAACATTGATTTTCTTGAGTTAAATGGCTTATTGCCAATAATCTGTATGCTTAGATATTCTTCTTAAATTTACCCTACAAACTAAGGTACCTAAATTAGAGACTTAGGTCAACTTTCCTTAATAGTTCATGGAGGAAGTGACATCTCCAGAAAGTCATTCAGATTTTGGGTGGAGTGAGTTATTTCCTAGAGATGCCTATTACTGTCTGTTAACTCTAAAGGAAATTTTTTTTCATCTTAAAGGGCCTCAGGTTAAGAAAGAAAGTGGATCTGCCCTACAGTGTGAGCATTCATGGTAAACATACCAGCAGTACTCCACTGTGGGGAGCTGGGGTGTGCTCAGCATTAGTCTGTGTTTCTGTGAATGAAAATGTGGCCTGACAAAAAAAATTATAGCAAAGAAAAGGTAACACTTACTTTGCACATCAAATATTTTGGTAATTTTTTTTTTCTTGTAGTTTCCAGTATTCCTTGTAAACTGAAAATAGCTTTTACTCCACTATCACAAGTTTGCCCAGTTTCATAGGCCAGAGAAATTCTTGGGGGCAGCCTAATGTCTTAGGGCTTTTGGTGCATATTAGTAGTCCCTGATTTTTCTATTCGTAGCTTCACATTTAAAACAAAGGTCCTAAATTGTTAGCTGGCATTCCCTGTCATACATGAGAAATCATAATGTGGGATAAAATTGACAATGTTGATCCTTTGCTTTCCAATAAGTGAGAGGAAGGTTAGAGGTAGGGATTTCTAACCAGAGAACCATTACATTGAAGAAATTTTTTATCATGAGGATAACCTTTTGGAATCTGCTGATGATAGTTTTAAATTAAAATATCCCTTAGGTGATTTCAGATTACTCTCAGCTATTCCAAAACTGAATCAGAATGGGATTTAAGTAAATTAATTATAATCCCTACCAAATATATGCCAAGTGAAGCTCTGCTGGATCAAAAGATTTAGCCCACTATTCCTATCCCTCTTAGTTTATTAAACAGCATTTTGTTGGTTTGTGCATGGAATATTTTTGAGAGGATGAGTTCAGAGAATTAATGCTCCTCAAGGAGAGCCTTAAATTCTGCAGATAATGTTGGTGCTATTAGAAAAGTATTAGTGAAAACACTAAACATGGTTTATGAAGCCTGGTTTCTATGTATCTCAGAGCTGAAGGAAAATGTTAGTATTTGTAAAACCATTTCAAAATTAAATTGTTCTTTCACCCCTTACCTATGATTAATAGTTAATAATACTGCAATTCTGCAGCAGCCTCTAAACTGAGGTATAATTTGTTCTACAGTTACACAAGGTACATTATTTTTTAAAATTTTAAGTACAATTATGCATTAGTTTTATTTCTAAACAGCAATTTCACAAGAACCAGCTAAAGGAAAAGTAGTGCTTGAATTCTTGTTTTCAGACGGACCTTCAAAAATACTAGTGATTTTTGGGGTGCATATTTTTTTAATCTCATATTTGAGTACCAGATTGGAGACAAATTAATGTAGTGTTGATAATACCTGCACCCTGAGAATCAAGACTTAATTTATCCTTACAGCTGCTCCATGCTTATCATAATTTTCCTGTTTATTTAGTGTGCAGATTCAGTGGTGGAGGGGTGTTCTCTTCATGTTGTGATTTTATCTCATCTGCTCACCAAAAGAGAGCATTATGTAAGTCATGGGTTCCCCAAGCAGAACAGGCACATCTGCGTTACCAGTGCCAGTGTTCTCTATCACTTCCCACTTAACTTGAGTGTGGAGGGATCAGCAAGGACTTAATTGCGAGTGAATTTACTTTTTTAGTCTTAATCCATAATTGCCTCCTATACACAGTGATCATGGCCAATTGTCTTTTAGAACATACTCCTGGGGTGATTAGGTTCCAGCAGATTTCCCAGGATGATGAGTCAGTATTTTCTTGCAACCTATAAATGTTTTGCAGTAACCTGAAGCACTTTGTACTTCCATGTCTATTGAGAAGTTTGTTGGTTATATTGGATGTGAGTTTGATTCTGTGATGAAACAGAATGTTGTTCAACAACAGACGTTTGTTGAATCACCACAAGAGGAAGACAAGCAGAAGGAAGGCTATTTGTGACAGAAATCTCATTTTGGATGTTCTTGGGCCATATCTTTATCAATTTTTCACAAAATGGCCTAAATTCACATTTATAATGGTCCCTTAACAGGCAACAGATGTGTTCAGGATTCTCCACACTCATAATTCTATTAAAGTGTCATTTCTGACAGCAGTTATTTCTGCAAGAGGAATGGAAAGATTCAGGCAGATCATTTTGATATAATACAAGGACTTTTTGACAAGTGCTGCAGACCCATCGAAGTCTCTTTCCAGCATGGTCTTTAAAGTTCACTTCAACTAGAGCAGGTTAGCTGCCTTCATCCTTATGTGTCACACCTGTAGAGTTAAGGCTGTCTTTCATAGCCTTCATATCAAAATATCTTCCTCACTTGGAAGGACTGTTCAAGTGGTGCTCAAGGTTGCCTGTGTCAGTAGCTGTCAGACTGAATCACACAATGGTTTGGATTGGAAGGAACCTTTAAAGATCATCTAGTTCTACCTTCCTGCCATGGGTAAAGACATCATCCACTAGATCGCTTGCTCAAAGCACCATTCAGCTTCGCACTGAAAGGAGAGAAACAATCAGAATACTTATCAGACAGAATTAAAATAGTATATCCAGGGGACCTAGACATACTTAGTTGGTTTGCTGAGAAGTGTGTCCGTTCTGGACATGTGGATCTCTAGCCATACCTTCATAAGAGCTCCAAGAGCTGTTGTGGTTGGGGTACATTATGGCTGCTGCCATTGCTGGGATTTGCATGAACAACTTTGGGACCCACCACCAGGTTATTAAAGGTGTGCTGATACCACTGCTGAGGTTCAAGAGTGAAGGCACAAGCTTATTACCACTCAAGGAGAAGGAGAGGTTGTTTAGGATAATGGAGGCTCTGTCAGGTGTTGCCCACATAAAGTGTTCACTCCCCCTCTCATTCTCCTGCCTGGGAGAATCCATCCCTTTAGGATTCTCCCAGGCAGGCCATGGGCTGTGCTGGCACTTGGCCTCAAACAGAACTTGGCTCTGGGAGCAGAACACTTGGTGTGCTTCTGAAATGAGCCATGCACCTGCAGCTATGTTTCGGATACAAAACCTTGGTCTTGAGTGACAGGGCATCTGCAGGATGCATTTATAGGTGGTCTAAATATCTCAAAATACTCTGTTAAGTAACTTCTTATTTATATTAGACCACATAGCACTCTCGTTAATAAAAGTAAATAGTGATGGTTAATAAGAGCAGTGCTGTGTGTGAGGATGACTCCTTGCTGCTATAAAGAAATACCTCTAGCATACAGTTCTTTAGCCAGAAATTAAAACATCACATTTAGCACTCCTTTTGAAAAGAAATACTTGTAACTATGTCATGCTGTGGGAAAACAAATCTCTGACTTTCATTCTTATGTATGTAGTGAAGTAATTGTAGTTTTAGTACATAATTTTCTGCTAAAAACATCTAGGTTTATAAATAACTGGAGATGCTAAAAGGACTTCATTCATAAAGAGAGGGTATTTATTTTAAATGCAGTTACTCAAATTTCTCAGTACCAATGGCTGGTTTTAAAAGAGGCTCACTTACGCAAAAGCAATACTCAAAAGCCTTAACTGTGTGGAAAATCCAGAAGCCATATAAGGATTTTGCTCACTAAGAAGCTTTGTACTGAAATGTTCCTTACCTAAACATTTTGGGTTCTCTAATTGCCATCCAAACATAAAGCTCGACATAGAGTGTTAGATGAGTTTTTCCCATCAAAGAATGGGCAATGAGCTTTTTATGAGAACATTCCCATTCTGTGAAATATGCACCATCTATTCCAATAGTACTGCAGCTTACCAGAGAAATGCTCCAAGCAAAATTTGTAGAAGTACGTCCTTTTTTATACATTTTCTGACCTGTAATACAACTTTTTAAAAGTTGTTTGGGTTGTTTTTTTTGTTGTTTTTTTTTTTAACAGGTTGAAAAAGTAATTTTAATGAGGGCACTTTATGGATAGGTTTTTAAGCCTCCTGAAACATTCCAGTTAAAATCATTAAGCAATATTCTCCTAAATCTGTTCAAAAATCTGAGCTGTGGTTATTTAGCTGCACAATGAGAGATCACTGATTTGTCATGTATTCTCTCTTGTAAGGAACTTCTGTTTGCAAAACATCTTATACCTCCCTTTCTAACTATGTGACTTAAGAACAAAATTTGATCTGGACTAATAATTAACTGCCTACTTGGAGCTATTAATCTGTAATTTGCAGATAAGCAATAGCTTTGCTATATGACTACATTATATATTCAGTTATGTGTACAAAACCTTTACATATACTATTTGTGTTTCATTTTTTTCAATGGTAATGCTGTATCTGAATATAAAATGCAAAAAAAATCAATATTGGACTATTCAACTTCATGCTGTAAGGGCAAATTAACAGAAAGGCACAATCCATTTCTTACAGCATCTGGAGTACACAGTTCACTGAAAAAGAAACATACTTTTTTTTCCCAAACTGAGTAGAAGTAATAATAAAATCCAGTACTGTATAAACCCATGTTTATTTTGTGTGTCCAGCATAAACATATTCAGAATATCTAATTATAGAAGCTTCTGAACAGGATAGTAACTAATATATTTACACGTCAGCATTAAAAATGGTTTAGTTGCCCAAATTGAGAAGAGTTTATAAGGCTGGAAAAAATGTTAGTATCTATTCTCCAGAAAAATCATGTTACCTAAAAATGTCTTACATATGATATCCAGGCTACCATGGCTTTAGATCCTGAGTCAAGCAAGACAAAACAAGCCAGTGGTTGCTATGAGCAATGTGTATGCATATGACAAGCATATTTTATGGTTAACCTGCATTCCTGGTACCTGGATTCATACCTGGCCAGGCTTTAAAAGCATGATGGCATGAAACTAGGTGTCCTCACAGACAATTTGGTTTCTTCTGCAAAGCACACAGAAAAGGCAGGACCTGCACTACTTTTCATTTAGTTCTCTAACCTGGACTTTGCAGGCCACAGTTCCATGATATCTCACGATGGGCACTTTCTCCACATTCAGGATGAGACCATCAGTGACCAGCACTGTGGAGCACATCGTGATCCCATCTTTTTAGGTGAAAGTTACAACCCTTGAGCTCCAGTGTTAGAAGCTGGTTTGCCTAGACTCATAGATGGTGGTTTCAGAATCAAAGCAAGACACTTGAGGCACTCCATCACCAAATGGAGAAGCTCATCCTTGCCTTCAGCTGTAGGTCTCCACTGTACATGGCAAATCAAGTTATTTTGGTGATCCATGTGAAAGATAACCTTTAAAAAGACACCAGTGTCCATCCAGATCAGTGAAGGGACCTTCTTATGTGGTGACAAAGTGTCTAGTACCAACTAGAGTAGGTTACATGGATGTGGCGAGGGAAGGATGATCCTTCAACAGTTCTCACTTAGGTCAGCTAAAACAAATTGTAAAGCTGCTCTCTGATTTGTCACACTGCCAGTTAAACCTGAACTAGGTTAAACTACTCTTCACTGGGAGTGTAAGATAGGTAAAAGCTAGAATCTCTTTGCTGCTATCCAAGATGTTGGTTCAGAGCATTTTAGAACCAGGAACTGAAATGGTCAGTCTTCTTCCCAAGATGCAACTTTTGAAGGTATTTCAGTTTAACCTTGTCATATATTATCATTCTGTCTGGTAACTGTTTTCTCACTCTGTTAAATGTGTAAATGCCTCTTGCAGTATTCTTTCACGAGCGCATGAATTATTCCCTTCTATCTACAATGATGAAAAAGCACAAGTATCGCAAAACTACAAAATTCAAAGTCTGCACATGCTTTGTTAATTCTCTATCAACGTGTATGACAGAAAACACATGAAGTGCTACTGAATGATGTGGTAGTTTATGTCCTCTATTTTACTATAAACAAAGAAAATTAGAACTGCTCTACAGAGATCACTTATGTAATATTATTTCAGAAGGTATAAGCAGTATAAGTAGAATAGGTTCTATTCTGTAGATGAAACTGAACCTCAAGCATGAACTTCTGGTTCAGTCATGAACAGTAATGATTATGCTTATTCAGTACACTACTTAAGTCTTAGAGAAACTTGTATTATTGCTTCGCTAATAAGTTTTTGAGCCTCTAGAAGGATTAGTTTGTGTTCTTAGGAAATACAGAAATCCAAGAAAAAGTGACGTGTAAGTTACAACACATGAACCCAAGAGAAAGAATGTACAGCAATTTCATTGTGATTAAAAATGTGACAAAAAATAAAACTCTTGAAAATACTAAAATATTTTTATAGGTTTTTTTTTAATGTTATTACTTTTCTTTTAAATAGTTGAAACAACTGAGCAATTTGGCAAAAGTATACATTTTTTTTCTGAGAATTAATGAATGCCTAGAAGGAATTGACAGTTGTAATTTACAATACAGAGCTTGTAAGGAACTGCCAGAAAATCTCTGGGGCAAAGGATGATGTTGCTTATTTGAAATGAGTGGATGATACATGGCCAATTAAAGATTTTTTTATTTTGTTGATCATTTCTGGATTAAATATTGGAAATATTAAATAATTTGTGTTTGCAACATATGTAATTGCTCCATTTATAAAATTTTAATATATGTGCTTTTGAACTCCTGACCTGTTTGCAATATTACATATTTGCATTCCATATGCAGAATTGCATTTTTCATAGTTCTTGATTTATGTTACAGTTTATATTGTACAATGTATTTAGTTAAGTCATGTTAATGGTATATATAACATTTCTTCCAAGAAAATCTCTGTCGCTGTTTTAACAAAATAGATTATATACTGGTATTATGCATGCATTAGTCTAAAATTTAATGTTAGAAACTGATGCTGGGGCTAAAAAGGAAAATACATTTAATTATTATAGAACTGCTACCTGGAATCACAATGTGTGTGATAAACATTTCAAATATTCATGTGCTATAACTATGAAGACAAAGAATGATTAAAGTTAAACTTTACATTCTGCTATAAAGGCATGCCTTCATGGCAAATCAGTTTTCATACTTGGTTCATAGGACAAGCTTGATCCCATACATTATCCTGGAATAAAAATATTAAACATAACAAAAATACATTTACAATTTTTGCAGAAACTACACAGCTAAAGGCAGAAGAGCTATATGTTTTTCTTCCTTATATTTGCTATTTTCAGAATTCTAAATACAGTAGTATAAAGAGTTCATGCGGTGTGCTACTACTAGTGACTAATACAACAAAGAAATCCACATTTTGATGCAGAAATGTAGGTATAAGGAGACTTACATTGCTTATAAAATAATCTCATTTTGCCAGAAAGAAACCAAGAAATGATAATAGAAGATTCTAATCATTTAAATTACCCTTCAAAGAAAATAAGGCATTTTATGAAGGTTTGGAATACTTTTTCTGTTTGGCTAAAATGAGAAGTTGTGTGTACATTCAGGCCCATTTATAAAAATTTCAGTGCTTGAATATAGAGAAGGATCATTTGATGCAATTACTTGAGCAGATTTTTATTGTTGCCAGTATTTAGCTTTAGAAAATGCATGTTTCAGCCAGAACACAAGATTAAAAGAGATTATCTGTTGCTATTACTGCATTTCCTATCCTCTTTTTACCAGTCTTTTAAATAAAGAAAAGACAGCTTTGCTGCGTGTCAAGAATCAAATGGCAGCAGATTTGGAGAGACTTCTAAATGACCGTGAGGTAATCTTCCTCTTTTAGCATTACTACCATAAGTGCACTTTTTTGCTACTGGCCCTTAAACCATGGAGAAAAAAATGCTTTACTTTGGTTCAATTTGTTGGGGTTTTCTTGTCTGTGTTGTTTTCAGCAACACAGGTGAACATGTCTGTCGGATACTGGGGAGGGTCTCAGTTGTACTCTCTGTTGTTAAATTCTCTCTGATGATTTACTGTCTCTGTTCTTTCTTTTCTTTTGCCTTGAACAGTGTTTGGCAATTGCAAGCATTTAACAAGCATCTAGATAAAGACAGTGAAATTGATACATGTGTAATCTGCAAGGTCTACATGTGCCACAGTATGCCTCAGGGATCTCTGTGCTTCCCAGTCCTTGCAGCCAAACATTGGACCAAAGCACTGTTGAATTCATTTCCTATACACTCTTTTGAATCCCTTTTAAACTCCAAAATAGGGGTTAGGGAGAGGAAACAAGACAATAGTTGCACAGGTTTCCAAGAAGAATTAGGGTACTTTTTTGTGTACTTACCTGAGTTTCATCTGAGAAGAATCAGGGTGCTACTGGACTAGATTATACTCTCAGATCTTAAAGTATGCAAAATTGTGCCATTTAGGGACCCCTAAAGGCTCTTGGAAGATTTTTATCTGAACAATCATAAGAGACTAATATGTCATGGCATAGGAGAGAAAATCTGCAGATTAAATGTCTGAAACAAAGCATGAAAGTAAACGAAGTATACTGCAGGAATCTGAGAATGTGAATAATACCACAGAATTTTCTGAAGCTAAAGAGTACTGAAGATATAAAACCAAAAGCTGACCTAAGCAGCTATTAAATCTCCTAGAGCTGCTGAATGATTTGGCAAGGATTTGCAGAAAAAATACAACATTAACAAATGAGGAATGAGGAAAAACAGTGCAAATTATAGATACAGAGTGATGGGACCTCAATACCCACTTACCTGTTCAGAAAGTGGTTGTAGAGCATATCAATAGTTCTCTGACAACATCTTTATTTTCTCTTACTGGTGAGAGAAAAGATTGAGAGATTGCTTTCAAAGAAGCTACAACTCCCCTAAATTATCCTGTCACAGTTCAGATTATCACTCATTTTAAAACATTATTTTCATGGAAAACTGACTATCCACCTCCCAAAGACTCATTCCACCTCCAAAATTGTTTTCCTTCATCTCCTTTTCATACTATTCATCACATTCCCTTCTCATATCAGTAAACCAAAATCCATGTCATTAATTGGTCTAAACAAGTTTGTCTCTCCCAAGCACTTAAAAAACTCCTTTGTGTTAGAACCAAAACAAAACAGTTTCACTGGCAGCTGAGTCCAAGTGAGCCTTGACTTAAATGAAAACTACTAATTCTGTTTGCTGAGTTCCAAACCAAACTGATCTATGATTTAAACATTTCTAGATAGTTTATAAACCTTACCATTATATTCATGCTTTATCATATCCTTACATTAGTGATATGAAAAATACTCTGAGGAAACATGACATAATTGTATAAACATGTAGTGTTTTTTCCAATTTTATAGGCCCTTGGACTAATTTCAAATTAATTTCTTTCAAAATTTCCTGTTCCTACTCTTTCTTTCCCAACCAGGGGTGCTGCCAACTAGTTATGCTCACAAAGCAGTCACACTTGGGTGCCTCGTTTTTGTAGTGTCATATCAATGAGCATGCATTGCAGCTGATTAAAAGCAGTAGAAAGTGATATAAAGAAAAATTTTGTCATGTTTTCTAAGAAAACCATAACATTTCTAACTTAAAACTATGCAACATTTTTTACATCCAAACTACATGAGCCCCTGTATGTACCCTCATAAACTATTCCTGATATGCAGCAGTTTGCTTCTTTGTGTCATTTCACCATTCCAAATTTTAAACTGTGTCAAACAATCAAGGAAGGCTGGCAGAGGAAGGCTTGATTGAAAAATAAAAGCAAATACTTTAGTCTGAAACTGACTTCTTCGATGTTTCTCATACCCTGAATGTTAAGAAATTGATCAAATATTTCCAAAATTAGTACTGTTTTCTGAAGTTTCTTTTTACATCTGTTAAAAATAGGACATATTAGTCCTACTGGTTTTGTCAAACAGTCGTAATGTTTTTTAAAGATACCTCTGCAGAAAAGGATATGAATGAAAAATATGAAAAAGAAACATTAGAAGTTGCATGTTTGAGGGAAGAAAACTATGAAATGCAAGTACAACGCACAAAAATATCTCCTGAGAAACAAAATATTAGCTAAAATTGATTCAGTAAAATGTTTGAAAAGAATAGGTAGCTTTTGTGTTTGTATGTAAGTTTAACTTTTGTCAATTCTGTTTATTCCTAATGCAGCTTTTTATTTTTTTACTTCTAATGCAAACTTCTTCCAGTAGTTTTACACTTCATGAATTTCTCTAAAAGGCAGTTATCTCATGTATTGAAATCTTTGTACAGGATAGTGAGTTAGTCTTTGACTGTACTTCTTTGCCATCTTAATAAAAAATTTAAATTTGCAGTAGCATCACAATTTTCCAGTAATTATCCTTGCTGACAGAAATAAAGAATACAAATTTTCTCGCTTTGTGTTAATAAAGGGTTAACTGCATTTAAACAGATTGCAATTTTAAATAAAACTGACAGGCAACCTGTAAATACAGATTCATACACTTTGAAAAAAAAAGATGAATTGCGGGTTTATGTGTTTGGTACGTGCTATCATGTAACAGGGTTACTATCAGCCTTGTTCAGTCATTGCACATACTAAACTGTCATGTCTTGTTAGGAATTACCTTGTTGCTCTCATGTTTGCAAGTAGAAACATTAGAATTCTTGAATAGATAAACCTGAGATATTCATAGTTAAGATAAAATGAAGTTTAGGTATGTTAAAAGTAAGTGCTAAAAGTACAAGCAAAATGCCAAAACAATGTTAATGCTGTCTTCCAGCGACGTGTTTCAATAGGTGCGCAGTTTTTACTTAAGGTATTCCAGCCTGTGTGGTCTCAGACTGTATTAACTCTTTTTAATGGAATGTTAGAGTTTGAGAGGTTGGAAGGTTTTTAATGTTTATCTCTTTGTGATATCAGCTAGATTCATAATGCTGCTTTGAAGACTATTATAGCATTTTATGCACTTTTTAAATAAAGAACTTACATTCATGATTAAGCTTCTCTTTTCACAGATTTTAATTTTAGAAGAAGAAAGTTGAAAGTTATACTTTGAATCTTGGAAGAATTTCTGTAGGATTCTTACATGAGCTCTTTTATTACAGGAAAAAATTACACTAAATGTTAATGTCATAAAATAGTTCATTATTTCAAATTATAAAGATGTCTAATTTGATGATGAATCTTACATTTTGCTGTGGGACATCAAAGTGAAAAATAGTTATTTGATTATGTAAAGCCTTAAAAGCTTCTGTCCACCCATGAAGGAGAAAAAAGGAAGGTTGGGGTTTTATTCAGACTATATTCTTGGCCCAAATTCTGAATTGTTTCTTGGCCTGCTACTTCCTTTTCTGTCTGAATTAATTAGTAAATGAATGTGGAAAACAGTTTAATCTAGTTTTTAATTTAGATCACTGAGAATCAGCTGGTAAGATAAAATTTCTTGCATTCTTCATGTGGTTAAATGCAAACTTCCCTATAAGAGGGAGTTCAATGGCATTTTCATGAATGAGCAATATCTAGGATGATGCTGAGATCATGTTGGAGGTTCATAATAAAGCCTTCCCAGTGCCCCTTGTCTTCTCTGAGCTCTCACATGGGTTGAGGTGCATAGTATTTGGATGCCATTTGTACACCTCTTAGTGCAAGAGAGCAAGTTAATGCAGCCAGATTTTTCAGTTGATTCTAAAATAAGGTATTTTCTGTGTTTTCAAGGTATTATTATTTAATTGTTTTTCTAGATCCATCTGAAAAGCATAAAACATTGTTTGAAGGAGCAATGTGGTCTCCTATTAATAATCTTCCAGTAAATAGTGTGGGTTTTTTTAAAAAAGGGATATTTCAGATCTCCAGACTTTTTTTTTTTTTTGCATTATTATTTGTAGTGTCTGTTCTCATTTTAATCAGCTGAACTTCACACTGTTGACACTCTTAACTCGAATAACCAAACCACACCAACATCAACTTGTAGTTTTGATTCTTCCCACTAACTAATTAACTGCATGACCTGGCCCCATCTTTGGAACTTACTGCCCCTGTGTCTTTGTATAGTCAGGGAAGAATGAGTAAGAATGATGTTTCTTCAAAGAATAAATCCAGATGAGATTATGCATCATGCCTGACTTGACCTAATAGCTGTAACGCTACCTTACCCCTTTGCTCCTGATTCTCCTCCTTCCTCCTCCTGTTCCACCAGCTCTGACACACTTCTAATACTGCAGTAGGACCATTCAAATCACTAAACAGAAACCTAACCTGGCAAAAAAAAAAAAAAAACTACAAAAGTGCATTGCTGTCTGTTAAGTTAGCAGTTTGAATGATCTTTGGAAAGAGTCCAGCAAAGAAAAAAACAAGTGAAAATATTTATATGTCAATATTACTTACCTGTGATAAAGAGGGCATTTTGTGTCCAAAACTGTATAGAGCACCAGCTTCTGTGCCATCCTTTATCTGCATCCAAATGTTATTCCTTTTGCATATAACGGGCATCTCTAACTTAAAGGCACTGAAAATGCAGTTCTCTGTTAAGGGCTGAAGTGGGATGAATCCACTAAAGCTTTTTGGTGAAGCTCTTGATACATGATTCCTTTTATCTAGTTTGTTGGTTTGGGTTTTTTTTCTTTCCAACAGTCGGCCTTTGACTAAAAGAAATATTTACCATGATCTCTGTGATCCTGGCAACTCCATTGCTTTCATGCTTGATGCAGTTGTTAGGATTTTGTAACATCAGAAGTGCAATTCTAGACTTTATCCACTGGCTTTCAAACTTCAGATGAAAACTTGGAAGGGCAGTCTGTCAGCACTCAGATGTTTGGCAAGAAGTTTTAGTAATAA